TCATGATGTACTGCAAAAATACTAAATAGTCATCCATTTATCTAAATGAAAGTGCTAAGGTTAGTATCACATCTTCTAGTAAGCTTTGCTTTAGTTTCGTGATGTAATTTTTTTATAAAGAGCTTAGCAAGATCATATTTTAAGTCTACATCTGTGCATCAAACTTCTTATTAAACGTGAAATAAGTACTTATCCTGGCTAGGTTTAAACTGGAGGATTTATTTAAACCTGGTACTTCCATAATATTTAAGTGCCCTCTCGGCATAAGTGTTATTGCTTAGATGGTTATCTAAACCCGAATGCTGGTGTGTATGGGTACCACATCAAGGCTTACTAGCATGTCTTCGACTGAGGTTTTTTTGGTTCACTAATTTTGCAAATTCATAAAGTAACCAATATATAACTTATATTCTACTATTTGTATTTATTGTCTGCATAAGAACGACCATAGCTTGTGCATCACACTTCCTTCCACACATTTCCCATTGAGTTTACTTCCATTTCGAGTGAAAGCGTTTGGTGAGGAGATTCGAAGATCGATACATACATATATATATATACAATTTATTTAATCTTGTGTACCTTTTGAATGCATTAAGCCATGGGTGTCCCACCGTCTCTTTGTCGAAGGGATTTTGTTTTACAGTTATCCAGTTCCTTATTACTAATGCGCTTCTTTCTTGGCATCATTGTTCCTAATTTTAATTTCCTGTGATTGCTTATTAGGTGCTTATATTTATCACTACCCTCTAAAATAACTATCACCTTGTTTAGAGAGCTCATCTTATCCATGAGGACTACTACTCCAACTTTGTTTATTTCCATGCTAAGGTATTGTGACATAAATATATGTTAGTCCTATCCTAGATCACAATATTTCTTTAGCATAACCGCCTGGTCACAATGAAGCATAACTCCAAGCTCTACTATTTTTGGCTTCTTCTGGCAATCTTTCTATCAATAATTAATTCATCGGTTGGATATTTCTCATCATTTTGGATGCGTAAAATCCATTCTCCTTTTATACTATTCTCCAGAGTTATACCAGGTTAATAGCATATAAGAGGTAATATACCATAGGCCTTTTGCATAATTTGCACCGAGGCTACATAGCATTTTATGCAATCTCCTTAGAGCTTCATATTATTTTATAGAGGTCACTAATGGGGCAGGAGGTCAAGTCGCAGTTCACCCTCCATTGTAATATCTTTAGATTCTAATCTATAAAATGTAGATCCATCGTAGTTTCGCTAAGTCTCTTATACTACATCAATGGACAAGGCGTATACTATTCCTTCAAGGATTCACTTTACTTTATTGTTGCTGACTCCATATTATTTATTATAACAGTTCAAATAGATTATAACAATAATTTATCTTTGCAAGACTAGTTCACTTCTTTCGTGCTAAGTTAAAAAGCGCTTGTCATTGTTTTTTAGTAAGGGTCATACTTTTATATTCGTATCATTCAATCAAACGCTATTTAAGCCAGGATCGAATCGAATATCATTTCTTCATTGAAGTCAGTAGTTTTCTAAGAGATGGTACTTTAAAATATCCATTTACTTTTTGCATGCTATCCTATACACTGCTTATGATTTTATTTAATCTTATTCTCTTTCCTCGTGTACCTAGTCGCCAGAGTGTACGTAGCTATTCTTCTGCTATCTCGCCTCGTTTCCTCGGCTCGACTGAAGCAGCACCAAAGGCTTATGAGAAGCGGAATCAGGCAGCTGCTTTTCCCACCATGCCAAATCCATGTTCTGAGTCTGGTCAGAGGCGGCTACAACACAGTCCAGAAAAAGTGACCGGATCTGGCGCTCGAAGCGAATATTTGGCAAAGCATTCTAAATCTACCTCTTCATCATCGTCCTCAGACGAGACGACTGCACCAACCATCACCCTCAGTTCGAAAGGTATGCTAAGTAGACTGGGTCTACCTCGACCTTAAAATCTTATTTAATTAGCAGTACTTTTCTATTACTGACCAGAGTTTTGACCTCTTAAAGACAATTCTCATTAGCACAACTGCTCCAAACTTTTCTTAAGCACGACAGACTACACATTCCTGTAGATTATATTTCGATATTATTAGTATTTCAGGAGTAAGAACTATATTCATATGTGATAAATGTCCGATAGTTGAAACTTTACACAATGATATGAACAGGCTTCATAAAACCATTGAATTTCGCTTAGCCCTCCTTCTAAAAAGTTATTCCCATCCAGGGTTTACTGCAGTTTCAATCTCACTTGGCTCTTATCTGCACCTCATATCCACGGATGCAAGGGATTAACAGGGAAGATGTCATTTTCAAAGCAAGCCAGGCCACAATTATGGTGGAAGTGTCAACAGAAACAAGGATTTGCGATGGGATATTGTTTAGCTCCCATCTTAGCGAAGTACTGCACGGCCAAACGTGAGGAGCACTTTTTGAAACAGGCAATACTAAGTCAATGCGATAAGAGGGTAAAGAGAAGATAGATAGGCCAGGACAGAAAGAGGAGTGATAGTGTAACCGTTTTCAGCAGAATGTTTGTCGAAGGATTGGCTTAACTTGTCTCTTTGACGAGTTCGTAGCTTGGTGCGGCGAATGGCAAAACTCATTGATGATGCCGACTACGATGCTGGCGAAACGTTTGAGAATGTATTAAGTACACTGTCAGATGTTGGGAATCATGACAACTACTATGGCAGACGACTTCGGACTAGGTGCGTTCTTCATGGTCTCCCTGAAAAC